GCTATCAACAAGGTTAACGATTCGGATCCCAGAGGGCTGAGGATTTAATATTATATCCAGGAATTTAACACTGTTTTAAATTAATTCTCMTTCCCAGGRCTTTTCGTCAAAGTCTCCTTAATGGTATCCGGTCGTCAAATTAAGAAYACGAAGACCTCAGTTGTCCGTCGGACACTTCAACCCGTCTACAACGAGGCGTTCGTCTTTGATATTCCTGTCAATCGACTGGGTGACGTCAGCCTGGTAGTYCGCGTGCTCAGTACTYCCGAGCCTAGCTCGCAAGCAGAACAGGAGACTCGAAGTAGTAAAACAATAGGAAAATCAGTCATTGGTCCTGATGCTAAAAATAGCATAGGATTACATCATTGGAATTGTATGATGACGGCACCTCGTAAACCAGTAGCGCAATGGCATCCTCTTCTGCTAAGATGAGGATACTAATTAATTTAGATAGTTGACTAGTACAACTCAGGGAATTAATTTGTAAGGGGGGAACATTACTCTTATTGTTAAACGTGTTCACRCGTCAATCAAATTCCGAACTTCATCYTACTGCTGTCGTGAATGGCTCGGAGTTTGTTCGGTAATGAGGAAGGACCCTTGAAATCAGTTCGGTGAAGTTCGGAGTTTTTCGGTGGATGACATCGGATGACAGTTGACTGTTAGCGATTTTAAACGTCAGTGCAGTTCGTATATTAGAATTACAGTAAATCTAGGAAATGTGTCATTTATGATTATAGTCTGTATTCAATTTTGTTTCGTGGGTTTAATGTCCCTGTTGAAGAAAAAGGAAATGATGGCTGAACAGGACARAGGTATCCCATGAATAAGACAGGGAATCCAAAATAACAGGATAATGTACTTCCAGCACAAAATTAAAAATGGGGTTTTATATAATTTGCTAATTGAATTTGTTATTTTTCTATACTACAATTGTTTTTCGTTCCTTCTTGTCAATTTTTTCATACATAAATTACTCGTTTTCTTTAGTTAGCCATTTTAAACTAGTAAATATATTTTTGATGCTTATTTGGTAATAAAAATGCAAATTGAATATCAAACAAATCTGCCTTGTATCTTTTTTAGGTGTTTAAGTAATATATGACATGTATGAATTGTCTTTTTGCCTAATTTACCATGGTATTGTGGAAAATACAAAAGGCCAAGTAGTTTTAAAACCTTCTTGATGTATTTTCGGATTTTCTAGTGCATTGTTTATGTTTATTATTATTATTTGGTTATATAACTCCTTAGTGACGTCACAATTTAAATTTCAATGACAATGGGACACATTCAAACACATAAATCGGTCTTTTGAACAGTTTCTCTGTGTGTCGCGCATTCATMGATGTTCGCTTGGAAACCGATGGCAATRTACTCCWAACTGCTCATTAGAASSAAGAACATCAGAGGSCACCCTCAATGATCTRACTTGAGATATGAAGAAAAACGTTTTCACGTCAGAGAGAAAAGACCTTTTCATTTGAATACTGGCTTCAGCGATCGATCCATAATAAACATTTCATTCTAACTCATTATARATTGGAGCCATTTCTCTGCAGAGAAACATACTTCAACTCAAAAACGATGGTAAATCAGAATGGATGTTCCGTTTTCAAGGCGTTTTTTCTACTGTTAACATTTAGTATTGCTACAACAACAGCGGTAAGTAAAGATTAAGCAGTATAACAGCATATATTGTTTCTAAAGAAAAGCATGTGGCATAGATAATTTTGTTTTGCTGTCGAAGTTTGATTGAAATTTCAAGTTTAACCTTCAAAGTTTCTTACCAGTATATCGTGTTTTATAACTTAYTTTTAAGTGAGCTGAAATTCTAATCAAGAGGCATGAAAAATTCACTTGAAGACGATCATATATTGAATATTCATTAAAATTAATTTTTTCCTTCATTGAACTTGTAAATAGACAGCTTATGCCACGTCGACAGCTAACTTTCATTAGAAATCGACAATATTTTTCGTTTTAGCCTCCCATCCACAATTAAAAACGCAGACGTTTCCTTGCGTGGACGACGCATTGGTTAAAAAGTAAAAAAAAAATAGAGTACATAACGAGAGGATTATTATAGTCTCTGAAGATAACAGTTTATAACCGCATAATAATCAGTTAACTTATGAAACTTGATCACAAATATTACGACCGTTTTGATCCATGATCCCAMCTGATCCCTAAAAAACCGTTTTTGGTCCTGATTTCTGGGGTAGTGATCGCGATCTCAAGCTTAAAACTGMTGTATTGATCCCTGGTCGCCAAAATATCACTAGTAATCTCTGTTCCTATAAACTCGTACCCTTCACCTTTTTAAATGCATACGCAAAATGTGATTTTAGGAACGCATTTTGTTAAAAAGTCCCTGAGAAAATTATATAATATATAAAATGTATTATAATATTCACTAAAAAAGACTGGTCAAAATAAACGTGATGTTCTTGATACAGAGCTTAAGTCAACTGGCGAACATGATAGATTGCTCGACAAAGAACAGTTGGGTACAGTATATAGGATACGGATGTTACTGTGGGCCAGGGGGACAAGGACCTGCATTGGACCCTGTAGACAGGTACGTAATGCAGTACCATGGTCTTAGATAATAGCTGTATAATTAATAGTAGARATGTTTTAGTTGTTGTAAGGCACACGATCACTGCTATGATCGAATCATGTATGGTAACGACTGCAAGAATCCCCTCGAGGTCTACATGGACAAATATAAAGTTACTGGATGCACAAAATGTGGTAAGTAATGGTTTTACCTCCTATTTCTTTTTCTTCTTTTCACTTTCTTTCAATTCTTTCTCTTGTTCTTTTCTCATTGCTAATTCGGCAAATCCTATGGTTAATCATAGTTATTATCATTATTTATTATCTTTACTTTATAATTAAAYGAGCTGATTAATTAAAATTAATTTATCAATCATTAATTAATCATTAATAAAATAATATTAATGAAAGTTAATTACGAATTAAATCATTGAAATTATTATGTGCTACAAATGCAAAAGGCAAACTGAATAGCCATACATCTTTCTTAGCAAGCGATTTTACTTATATATTTTAATTAAATAAATATTAATAATAACTATTGATTATTTTAATTAAATATTAAAATATTTGTTTCAATTTCAGACCCAAATCAGAGTACATGTCACTTAGAGATATGTAAATGCGATGCCGCCATTGCTCAATGTTTGAAAGGAAAACCATTGAATCCACGTACAAATTCAAAAAAATATAAGTGCGAGAAGAAATCTAGCCCTCATAAAAGGAATTATTATAAAAGAGACTATATGAACATAGATTACAATAATGTAGATTACGATAGTCTGTATAAACTATGGTAGATAGACCAATAGAAGTCGTTTTAGACCTTCCCTGCTCCATAGGACACCGTGCTACACCTAATTGAGGAAACGTTGTCACGGGTCCAAAAAAATCAAATCATAGAAGCTAAGACCGAAAGGGTACTTGGGAAGACAAACAACTTGGCTAATTTCATAACAAACAGCTCTCCAGCATAAAAGACTATCATGCTGTTAATCTTACTAGCTCTACTTGCTAAGTGTACATCGTATATGCAAATGTAATCCCAATTTAGTGGTACTCAAAATTCCTTTCGGTCTTAGCTTCTATGATGTGATCTTTTCGAACACGACTACGTTTTTTCAATTAGGTGTATACTATTGAAAGGAGTTTCCTATTATACTAGTTTTTTCGCGTCTAGGTCTATGTTAGTCACGTTGTATTGCGCCTCTTTTGTACTATGGTTTATAAGATTCAAATATTATTGACACTCACTGACTGACTSACTGGTACAAATATTACATGYCTACCTTGTGAAAGTGACACAGTGATGTCGATGTAACAAGAAAACCCAATCCAGATAAGAAAATTGACAATAACAAGAAATCACCAAAACAAAACAAATAGAATAGTAATGGAATACAAAACAACAACAYCAGCAGCAACAACAAAAAGCAACAGCAGCAYCAACAACAATAGCAACTATAACAACAACAACAACAAACAACAACAACAACAAAGAAAAACAGCAGCAAAGACAGGACAAAATGACACTAAGTAAAATCCATCAAATTCAAAAGAAAGACTCAAAACTCAAACTCAAAGCAAAATACGCAAATGAACCAATTAACATAAATAACAATGAAAGAAAACGAAACATATAGATATAGATAAAAAAAATCAACAACAAAAATATGTATGTAAATATTTTTCCATCATTAATTAAACGTTGTATTTTATCCAGAATCTGTGTTTTTTATTCGTTTCTCAGCACTGTTTCTTATCATATCCTGAGTACTTGTRATGGTAGGTTGATCGTTGAAAGCACTTCACTGACTCAGCATCACACTTACACAGAGCTTCACGACATTTACCTTGAAACCAGTAATAACTCGCYGGCCCTAACGGAAAAAGAGAACCGTCTTAGTACAGTTAAAGACCCACGTGTATCCATGAACCTTTGCGAGCGTTTATTTTGTTGTGTGTTGAAAGTTGCTTGCTGATTGGTTCAAAAATTAAAGATGGCGAATTTTTGTATGTGAAAACTATCGCGCAAAGGTTCTTGGATGCACGTGGGCCTTTAAAACTAAGATTTAAAAACCAATTAGGTTGGATTAACGAATGGTCTGTAAGCAGTGAGAACATGAAGAGCCTGAGCTAAGTACCATAAATATAGAAAACCCTTTCCCACACCTTTCCCTTCTCCGCTTCCATGTTCTTACGCGAAGAGTTTTGCTGGTTTAAGTGCGATCACTCTATAGTTTTTTTTTGTTGGTGTAACCACTCTAGCACAAGTAGCTACAATAGTAGGTGTAACAGTAAAAATGTCTTAGTATATATCTTACTGCAGTTGGTACAGCCAGTAGTACTGTAAGGGAAGGTATAGACCGCTGCTTGAAATGGYCAAACACCAGATTTATGGACTTTATCATAGCAATTATCATGCACCATACAACACCTGAAAAATACAACGTTTGAATCCTTAAATATAAGATAGAAATAACCATATAACTAGAGGGTGCTGTACTTTGATAGTGTGGGCTTTTCTCAATCAGTTGTGTAAAAAGATAAATTTAACACCGTAAAAAGGTGAAACAACTTATTACTGACGTTTCGGAGGTTAATTCTTTCGTCGGAGTAAAAGATCAGTTAATCAGATCAGTCAATCAGTTAATGTTAGAGTCTACGAGTTCAATATCAGGCGATGTTCTGTGTCGTGTGTTCTCCGTMAGCTGTAATAAGTGTTTAGTTTGAAATCTTACGAAATCACTTCTCTTGTCTATCTTCACGAAGAAAATTTTTTTTTGAGCTCTATGAGTAGTAATATTAACCCCACCCTACCTGTCTARGTTGTCTAAAGGAGTCCCATGACCACCAAACCCACACCAACACCCATAGTTATTGTAGTCMAGTGGGTTACGCCCTGTACCACAGTATATCATGTACCCAAAGTCCAGTAAACCACGACTTGATGTAGCGGAAAACTGCTAAAGATAAAATCAGAAAAAATCACTTGATGAACGTATAAATCATTCAGATTGAGTCGTACTGCTGATTAACATCCACATACACTAATCTAAACATAACAATAGAAACCCAGAATCATATATTCTTGTGATTTTTTCTTCCTTTTGTATTTCAAAATGGGACAGTAAAATGTGACGCGACTCAGTGAAAACCGTCTTGTTACACGCGCTTTTTTTACATCTCAAATCAATAAGCTACTTCGCACTGCATGATACAATCTCTACCTTTTTCTGATTAGGCAAAGAAACCGCAAGGCAAACCAAGCCAAGGACCACGAAAAACACTGCAGTTTTGAACATTGTGTTCATTCAGTGACGCAAAACTAGAATTTGTGTCTGAAACGCATTATCGTTTCCTTATATTCGCACTCAATTAACTCAAATCAAACAACGAGCCGAAAGTATARGGTGAACTTGATATCTTGGTTCAATTAGCCATTAGGAATGATATGTTTTTGTTGTGTTTGRTTGGCGTTCGTTTATTTCGCCGCATATATTTYACAAAACATCGCGTTTTCTTAATGTCTTTAATGCTTTTTTCTATATAGATTTTCTTTCTATCCCTGTTATCTCTCAATCACTCATTCATCCTCTATCCATATTTCATTCATACATTCGTCCCAGTCCACTCCATCCATTTTTTCACTCATTTACCCATTCATTCATTTTTTAATTCGCTCGCTCTTTCAAATAACTACAATTCTCTCACTGTATTCGCATCTTTGACATGAACACTTATATTTATCCGTTATCATAAGAACATTTTATACTTGTAACGCTTACAAGAGCCTGTGAATTATGTTACGTACTACACATTGGAGTGATAAAGATATTTATCCGTTATCATAAGAACATTTTAGACTTGTAACACTTACAAGAGCCTGTGAATTATGTTACGTACTACACATTGGAGTGATAAAGCTTGAAGCTCAATAACTCACTAGTTCTTGAGTTAGTTAACTATATATGATTGCCTTCATGACTAACATAATAACATGACACCATTTAATGGACTGGAAGCTATAACCAAACATATAAGTTACTTGAAATTTAAAACCATAACAGTAATCAAGCAAAACAGAGAAAGATTAAAAAAAAAATGAAGAGTATATCTTGTGAAGTAGGGCAGTTTTTGACATCCTCTGGTAATAATGAAACTAGTATTGATTGTTTGTGATTTACTAAATGAACGCCGAGACAAAAGCTATGATAATTTTTATTTCTATTTGAAGGATTTTTTACAAACGTTAATGCACTGTTTTAGTTTGTTCATCACAGACCGTTTCGTTTACTCAGCTTGACAAACTACACGTGACATACACGATCAAGTGTTCTCGAGTTCGCACGTGTTACCTTCCCATCGAACATTTGATTTGAGGGATCAGATGTTCGATGGGAAGAATATCATGACAATATTGTAGGGAAAAAACAACGATAACGATTCACATAAAGAAATGAAAATACATAATGTAATTTTGGAAAGATTCCACTTCCTTCTTTTTCATTTTCCCATTTGTTTTGCTTTTATTATTTCCTTCCTTTTGTTTCCTTCCTTTCAGTTTTTTTTTTCATTCATTTGTTCAATTGAATTCGACGAAGCTACGATTCGACGAGTATAAATATGTAATAATAAAAATTAGAAATGTAATAAATAGATGTAGCTAAAAAGAATGGATAAAATAAATTATTGAATGAAAAATAGAATATGATAAAAAAGAATCAAAATTTTATCATTTTCTAGAGTCCACTAATCGGTCGTCTATGATCTATAATTTTTCAAAAGTAACTTTTACCAAAAATTAGCGCATGCACTTAAATGAAATAAAAAAGAAAAATCAATCACAGATGAACGACTAATCAAGCAACAAACAAGTTGTTGAAAGTGAAAATACACCTTTAGCGAATCAGCTGCTCAAATCAAACATCAATGTCTATGAAACTACAATTGGAAAGGAAAACTACCTGAATTTTCATACAAAGGTGTTTAACCAACGAATATAAAAGGACATGGAGGCTTCAGTTTGTCGTATTAAGACCACTGACTTCCTGGAACGTTTTGAAAATGGCTTATAAAATGTATCTGGTGCTTTTGGTTATGGCTAGTATTCTATTCAACTCATGTACTGGACTTGGTGATAATCAGGTAAATTGACCTCTTTAGAGACAACGGACGGTTTGATTCCAGGATTTATCTATGTTATAGCACTACACTAACAACAAATAGAAACTGTTTTATGACTTCTGAAGGATGGAAATTGTTAAATCCACTTTGACGTACGAATAACCATTAACGTACGATTTTTTTCACATCCAGGTCGCAAAGGGGCAAGGTATTGTATTATATTGTATTACGATAATTTCTAATGATGATAATGATAACAATGATGATATAAATGATTATTCTAATAAATAATCAATGCTATCGGTTGTGACAAAGGAAGACGACTGAAAACTCTCAAGCGAAATATTTGCACGACAATGATGATCATGATTCCACTGATTACAATGATAATTATATTATTCTATTATAATCATCTAGAGAGGATGAAGCGRAATATTTACCAATTTGGTAAAATGATTCAATGCGAGACAAAAAGATGGCCRACAGACTACCTTGGTTATGGCTGTTGGTGTGGTCTTGGTGGTAAAGGAACTCCTGTGGATGAAACAGATCAGTTAGTATTATCATTGAGACCGTTACCCTATCAAAACAGCCGCCATCTTGAATAATGAAGAAATTATGGGATGACCAAGTTGTAAAAGGCACAAATTGTTATAGAATGCTAAAGAAAAGATTGCTTTAAAATCAAATGTGGCAATTTTTCGTTTCTCGGATGCAAGTTGGCCTTGAAAACGATAGAATTCAAGATGGCGGTCGTATTCACAATAACTTTTTTTGAAGTATAAGCAATAATATTTGACAATCATCATAACAGTAATGGTTAATAATAACGAAGAAAGGGACCAAAACAAAACGAATAAATGTTATTTTTTAGATGCTGCAAGGAACATGATTTATGCTATAAAAAAGCTCATCGTACTGACTGCTTCATTGGTCAAGCTTACACCGTGGTATACAATAGGAAGGGATGTTCTGGCTGCGGTAAGATGGTACCCCCTCTTCCTCTCCTCCCCTTCTCCCTTCCATTTTATTTTCTTCTTTTCTATTAATTTACATTTTCCTATAATAGCGTCATACAATATTTAAGGAGTGGTCAAAATGTTTGAAGTTGTAGGCCGAATTGAGTCCAAATTGACTGAGAGATTGAGGTGGGAAATGGTGATTAAACACTTGATAACATACAATTTTTATTGTCTTTTTATCAGATGAGAAGAAGAACAAGAAATATGAACAGACAGTGTGTGAGTGTGACAGCGTGGCAGTCAAGTGCTTCAAGAAGGCAAAGTTTAACGATAAATATAAACGTTACTCTCAAACCAAATGTCACTGAATTGAAATATGAATAAAGAATAATTTGTTTAAAGCAAAATGTGGTCTGGTAACTTATTAAAATTAACACTAGCATGCATGGCGGCTCTCTATGGGAGGGGGAAAGGAAGGCAGAAAGTGGTCAGTATGTCCCATTACCCCCACCTTCCCTATTACCGCCGCCCAATATCTGACTATCTGTTGTTGCATACAATAATACTGAGTATTAAATGTTATTTGAACACAAAATAGTTATAAAAAAACATCGGTTTGTAAATGGAAACATAAGTGAACACCGATGACGTGTAAAAATACTATACAACAATGATGAATAAAACATCAGTCGTGTATTAGAGTACTCAAGGTCGGCCATAAAAGCTAAAAGCTTAACACTTTTATAGTACATTCAACAAAATACTTTTTCATTAGTCGAGAGGAGTACAATTAACGCTGTAATTGTACTCCCTATAAAATTTTGTTTCACAGAATGTACTATAAACATAAAATCGCCCAAACTCTCGCCTCAAGGTCGTGTGATTTCCTATACAAATCTAAAAACAAAATCAAATTCAACGATCAAATCAGGGACTTTATTTTCTATTCAAGGGAATAATTATAACARGTCATTGTTTAATCCAATTCATTATGTGTATCCATAGTAACGATAAGATCACGTGCATTGACTTTGTGGGTAGTCATCGTACTGTGCATCCCAAGGACTGGCCGCAAAACATCTTGCAGCATCTCGGTCGCATTCACAGAGGGCTTGTTCGCACGCGRCGTTCTTTTCTTTCACTAAAGGGGAAAACAATACTTATTACCTATACAAGAAATCTCAAGGGGCTATGATCAACCGACACGCACCGCGATCCACCGGAAAATATCGCGCTTCTTGTAGGTTGATAATTTAATGGAAKTATATTTTAAATTCAATCTATAATAATTGCAAAGGTTGTAAATATCCCGCAAGTGTCCAAAATCATGGAAATATCGTGTAAATTTGGATTTTAATTTTTATATAATATTTTCATTACATTTACATCGTTTGTAAAAAGTATGTAAATGTGATGTAAATATTATGTAAATGTCCAAATGTAAATATTATTTACATCATCTAAATCATTTTTACATCAAATTTACAGCGCGGTTTTTTTAATTGATCATGATTCTTTATCAACACAGTACAATGATTTGGTGGAACCTTACCACAATCTGAGCAGCCCGTCATATGATAAGTGTTCCAATATATCTCTCCATTCCATGAAGAACATTTCCCAGACTCTTGAGCTTTACTGTAGCAATTATCATGAACATAACAGCACCTTACAAGAAAAAAGTAGCATTAGCAAACAACACAAACGAAAAAAATGAGAATTACAGTCAACTCTCGCTATTACGGACACCCTCGGGACCGTAATTTAGTGTCCGAAGTAGCGAGAATCCCGTAATAACGGGAGTTTCAGTATTTCGTGTCCGTAATATCGAGGTGTCCGTTATAGCGTGGTGTCCGCAAGGCGAGATTTGACTCTATATTTTCGTCCTTTTATAAAAAACGTTCATCGAGCATTGTTAGGCCTTTTAAATAATATAAGTGCATATCCCTTTATACAAATGAACAAGGAAGAAAGGACAACTGAAGGCCAATTACTCACCTGTCAAGATCATCAACTATTTTTCCACCGCCACCTTTACCACACCAACACCCATAACCATTGAAGTCTGTCCAGCTACGACCAGTCTCACAACTGATCATTTTCCAGAATTCCCACAAAGAMCGTTTTGACCTGTTAAGGCCTAGATAAGTCCAAACATAACAAGCTGAGGGTCTTTATTTGATAATAATAAAGATGTTATACAGTGAGTTTATTGTGGTTGTCCTCAACACGTGAAAACCATATGTAATATTTCATCACACCTTTTTTTTTGTACCGTCCAAACATGGTTATTGTGATCTWTAATTGGTACGCGGTATTTCAAGGATATATGAATCTCACACAAACAAACAAAAATTGAATTCTAGACTTATAAAGGAAATGTTTCTATTATTTCACAGATTTAGAGAGTCAGTTGTACACGTCTTACCTCTATGCCCCACCATCGTGGAATGACGCCCTCCTTTCTGAAAAACGAAATTAAAATAAAGTCTAAATACTGCAACTTTAAAGGAGCTTTTAATCACAAAAGGGACTAGAAACGTCGTACCTTTTCCTCCAAACTCCTTGAAGAAGCAATGACAATCATCGCCAGGAGAGTTAAAAGTTTRAAAACTCCCATTTTGCACTTAAGGAAGACGATCTGGTTGCAAGTGAAGTTGAACGTAGTAACAGACTGAGATTRTTCGCCTTTTTTATACCATTACAAAGCAATGAAGATGACATAAGACAGGATTCGTTTGCAAAGTGTATTCTCGTGAGAACTCAACAAGTTTACCATTTGAAAAACAAAATATTTGTTTATGTATGATCATACCTATCTAATGGGTGTCAAACGTACGTAATTCACCGTAAGTATGTTTATGCTTAACAGTAATTTGATATATGATCTATAGCTAATATCAAAAGCGAACACCTTTAGAAGTTCCCGTTTAGTTCCTCATATGGGTTTTTTATACAAAAAAAAATCTTTTTTAAACGACCAATTTCCGAATCGACGGCKACCATTTCAGGTTAAAATTCTCACTCTCGTGAGCGGTCATACAAAACAATTTACTTGATTCCTACTAGTTACTCAAGATTATTGTATGTGAATCGTATAATTAATACCGAGGGGTTTGGGTTAATTCCGACTAACCCCTGTGCAAATGGTCCGGATTCTAAGGGATTCTGTTCTTAAGAATCGCTCAAAATGGACCATCAACAGCAAGCGACCACCTTCTCCTGAGGCAGAGGGTGGTCGCACACATGAGGGTCAACTCCATATAATGATCATGACATTTACACTATTTTTTCTTTTCTTTTCTTCATTTTTTCTTTTGTTAAGTTACCAGCTGTTAGGTTCATATATTGAAAAACCTTTTTTTCAAAGATTGCTTATTGTCTATCAGTTTCTTTGCACATAAATAGTTCCCAATACCGTCACAGTTTCCTGGAATTAGAGTGATCAGTGTTTTGGAATCAAAATTTAAATGTATGAGATACATAGTCATCTTTCATTTCTCATTTTTTAATATGTTTTAGTGGCTGTTTATTTGAACAAGGGCGCTAGAACTGAAATTATGACCTATAAGATCCAAAAATTGCTTAATTTATCTAACATAAGATAGTCGATAATAAGGTGTTCGGCCAGTGCAAAGTGATTTT